CCTTTTTGGGGGACTTGTAACTTTTGCTCCAAAAATGCAGTCCCCCCTTTTCCTTTCCTTAAATTTTGCCTTTCAGTTTGAACCCTTAAGGGATTTCCCTGACTAGTGCTCTTGCATCTTGGTTTAATTGGACGAGGAGTTCTCCAAAAGTCATCTTCGTTTAAGGTGAAGAAAAATAAATAAGTAACCTTAGAATGTATTACACTTATTATAAAATTACACAACGTTTCGAACCAATATGGATCATTATCAAGTGATAGGAAAGTACAAAGCATATTGGATTTATACCATTAGGGGGTCAGGTGTACACAAATATACGAATACAAATGCGTCAAGAATAAGGCATAAAAGGGAGGCGTTAAAGTTTGAAGAAAAAAGGCGAAAATGGGGTTCGATTCACATACAAAGATTAATCAGATGTAGTGGGCGTGGCGTGTTGAGCAGTGTCTTCTATGTTGGCATCTTGACGTTTCAGTCTTGTTCTTTCTTTCATGGTGGGTAGAGTAAATAGTTCCGTAATTTGGGTATTTATTATGGGTTGTTCTATTTTTATGTGGCTTGCTTCCTGCTTCCTTCCAAAACTATTTTGACTATTATACAAGTGTTTTCATTTAACATTTCTCTTCTTAAAGTGATGTCATAGGCTTGTCTCATGTGATTTTTGGGGCACCTGATTGAAGATGACAGGTCCAAGGTCTCGTCAGTTTGGTCGACGTTATACGTATGTTCTTAGACTGAAGGCTACATCCTTCGTCTGGGGCAAATGTACATATATACCATCTTTGACTACTGTAAAGGGTTCTCCTTCGATTTCGGGGCTGTTTTTAATAAGGAGGTCGGTAGTCTTCTTTGTTTTATAGAATATGAATAAGTCTATGTTTTGGTTAGGGGTTATGTTTTTTACTCCTTTACGGATTATTTCTTTCATTATTCGTTCTTCTTTTTTATGCTCACTGTGCATGATTGATTAGTAATATAATTTTATTGAAGGTGTTGTGGTTTCTGTTCTTGGTTCAGGATTGTACCATCGGTCCAGGTGTCGTCTTAGAGCAGTGTATATTTCTGTGTTATTATATCCATTGTTCACCAACACCTGAATTATTCTTTCAAACTCCCTACTCACGTTGCTCCATTTAGAGCAGTGGCTAAGGGCTCGACGAATATAAACGTTGAGAACACTGTCTTTGTATCTTTGGGAGCACTCCTACTGTTTAGGCAAAATCCTATGTTTGTATGCTTAGTATATACGCTGGTGCTTAGAGATGTTCTTGTTTTTGTTATTAGTACATCCAAGAATGGCAGACTGTTATTTTCACTATTTTCATGTGTAAAACGAAGTACTGACTATCTCTCTAAATGGCTTTTTAGATAGGTTAGTTCATCTGGGTCTTATACTATGACGAATATGTCCTATACATAACGCCAGTATACAATTGGTTTTTGCCTACTACTGAAGACTTTCTCTTCGATGGTTGCCATGTAAAAATTAGCGAATGACACTCCTAAAGGGAAGCCCATTGTTACCCCATCTATTTGTAGATACATGTCCCCTTGCGGACTGTTGAAGTGGTTCCTTCTTTGTACATGCCTCGGGAAGGCTCTTCAAGTGTGGCTCGGGTGTGACTAATTTGGGGGTGCTCTCGTCTCTATATACTTTGTCCAGTATCATTTCTATGGTTGTGTCGACCGGGACGTTGGTGAATAGGGATTCGGCGTCCAGTGAAGCAATAATTCCATCGGGCTGTGTAGTTTTGAATATTTCTAGGAAATCTACTAAGGCGAGGAGCAGCAGTGGGCGAGGTTCTCCCCCAGCAGGGTGAGGAAGGTGTTACTGAGGCGAGGAGCAGCAGTGGGCGAGGTTCTCCCCCAGCAGGGTGAGGAAGGTGTTACTGAGGCGAGGAGCAGCAGTGGGCGAGGTTCTCCCCCAGCAGGGCAGCAGTGAGGAAGGTGTTACTGAGGCGAGGAGCAGCAGTGGGCGAGGTTCTCCCTCAGCAGGGTGAGGAAGGTGTTACTGAGGCGAGGAGCAGCAGTGGGCGAGGTTCTCCCTCAGCAGGGTGAGGAAGGTGTTACTGAGGCGAGGCGCAGCAGTGGGCGAGGTTCTTCCCCAGCAGGGTGAGGAAGGTGTTACTGAGGCGAGGAGCAGCAGTGTGCGAGGTTCTCCCCCAGCAGGGTGAGGAAGGTGTTTCTGAGGCGAGGAGCAGCAGTGGGCGAGGTTCTCCCAAGCAGGGTGAGGAAGGTGTTACTGAGGCGAGGAGCAGCAGTGGGCGAGGTTCTCCCCAGCAGGGTGAGGAAGGTGTTACTGAGGCGAGGAGCAGCAGTGGGCGAGGTTCTCCCCAGGGTGAGGAAGGTGTTACTGAGCAGGGTGGGTGAGGAAGGTGTTACTGAGGCGAGGAGCAGCAGTGGGCGAGGTTCTCCCCCAGCAGGGTGAGGAAGGTGTTACTGAGGCGAGGAGCAGCAGTGGGCGAGGTTCTCCCCCAGCAGGTGAGGAAGTGTTACTGAGGCGAGGAGCAGCAGTGGGCGAGGTTCTCCCTCAGCAGGGTGAGGAAGGTGTACTGAGGCGAGGAGCAGCAGTGGGCGAGGTTCTCCCCCAGCAGGGTGAGGAAGGTGTTACTGAGGCGAGGAGCAGCAGTGGGCGAGGTTCTCCCCCAGCAGGGTGAGGAAGGTGTTACTGAGGCGAGGAGGAGCAGCAGTGGGCGAGGTTCTCCCCCAGCAGGGTGAGGAAGGTGTTACTGAGGCGAGGAGCAGCAGTGGGCGAGGTTCTCCCCCAGCAGGGTGAGGAAGGTGTTACTGAGGCGAGGAGCAGCAGTGGGCGAGGTTCTCCCCCAGCAGGGTGAGGAAGGTGTTACTGAGGCGAGGAGCAGCAGTGGGCGAGGTTCTCCCCCAGCAGGGTGAGGAAGGTGTTACTGAGGCGAGGAGCAGCAGTGGGCGAGGTTCTCCCCCAGCAGGGTGAGGAAGGTGTTACTGAGGCGAGGAGCAGCAGTGGGCGAGGTTCTCCCTCAGCAGGGTGAGGAAGGTGTTACTGAGGCGAGGAGGAGCAGCAGTGTGCGAGGTTCTCCCCCAGCAGGGTGAGGAAGGTGTTACTGAGGCGAGGAGCAGCAGTGGGCGAGGTTCTCCCCCAGCAGGGTGAGGAAGGTGTTGAGGCGAGGAGCAGCAGTGGGCGAGGTTCTCCCAGCAGGGTGAGGCGAGGAGGAGCAGCAGTGGGGAGGTTCTCCCCCAGCAGGGTGAGGAAGGTGTTACTGAGGCGAGGAGCAGCGAGTGGGCGAGGTTCTCCCCCAGCAGGGTGAGGAAGGTGTTACTGAGGCGAGGAGCAGCAGTGGGCGAGGTTCTCCCCCAGCAGGGTGAGGAAGGTGTTACTGAGGCGAGGAGCAGCAATGGGCGAGGTTCTCCCCCAGCAGGGTGAGGAAGGCGAGGCCGTAACCAAGAAACATAAGATAAAAGGCGCCTTGCAGGTGGTGGAGCCCCAACACAATTTCGCTATTTTCGTCCTGCTAATAAGAAGATGAAGTATTATTAATATAAAGGCTATATATAAAAACATATAATCAATAAGCATATAGAAATATTATTAATAATTTTTGTATATACTTGCTCCTAGAAAATTACTCATAAAAATTATTTATGGTATAGGAAATTATAATACAAATTTCAGGTCATTTAATGTCCAAATGCATTAACATTACTTTTAAAAGATATCTCAACAGTTGACTTAAGATATAAACCGGCCTTGGGAGTGTCCTGTCCTGCCAGGGTGGCCGAAGACGCTCCTGCCCTCGTCTGTCTGATCTTCTTGGCTATTACATCGTTGGTCCAGACGCCCATTATCCCAGTGTTCACCAGCCGGGCCATTAGGGTACTGAACCTGGTGTAGAATGGTGCTCCCTTTCTGTAAACACACAATATTATCTCAGGGGTCCGCCACGTTGTCAGAGAATACCACAGACAGCACCATAGCAAACATAACAACATTCCAGCAACACAAGAGCAACGTTGAGTAACATTACTGTAAGGTAATGATATCTTACTGATGTAGCGCGAGGCCTGCATGGCGGGGCTCGAAACCACCGAATCAAACCGCAGGTGGACCAGTGAACAGGGGCGGGAATGGCTCCGTTAACAGTACCACAGCAAGCCAGGGTCCAGTTCAGGGACCAGCCCAGGGTCCAGCTCACAGTAGACCGACAACAGTCTGGGGCAGTGATCACTCAGTGAACAGGGGAACCCAAGGTTGGGTGGGGGGGGGGGTGTAGCCAGCCACCACCGCTTCCCCATCCCTGAGGCCTTCCTACCTCTTTCCCCTCCAGGGAACCCACCCACCTACACCTCAATCTCTATCCACGGTGTCACACCACCACCACCACCTAACCTCCCAATCCATACCAATGAATCAGACCCCTCCACTGTCTCCCATCCGCCTCCCCATCCAGGCACTCCTGACCCCCAGGAGGTCGTCACTCAGGTTTGTGTTGCAGCAATATTAGACCGCATGATAAGATCTCATCCAGTAGTCCACCAAATACTGCAAAAGCAGACGGAACTTGAGAAAGCCCTCTGCCAGATTAAGACGACGCAGGAACAAATCCTCCAAATCCTGCAATGGCAGAGTCCATTAAGTGGAGGTCCTGCAAGCCAGAGCCTGGTGTAAGATGATGCAATACATACTGCCGAGGTCCGTCAGCAGACACAACCAGGACACCAGCACATCAGTGCACACAGTAACACCAGTGCACACAGTAACACCTGTGTACACAGTAACACCAGTGCACACAGTAATGCCAGTGCACACAGTAACACCTGTGTACACAGTAACACCAGTGCACACAGTAACACCTGTGTACACAGTAACACCAGTGCACACAGTGACACCTGTGTGATTTATATTTATTTAATTTATATGAATTTATATAGAATTTATATTTACGTTAATTTGTATACTTCGATAGCAATTTGTATGATGTTAAGTGGACTGTATTTCTGCAATAATCTCACAAATCGATCCTCTGCACATTAGGGTGGGGTTTATATTGAATTTATATATATGCAGCCAATCAAACTACAGTATTAGACTACATACTTTGAAGAGGTTCCTTATCTTATTTGTACAGCAGGCCTTAGTCCACCAGGTATAACTAGGATGTAGACACCAAATTTTCCTCGTGTGAGGTGGCTTCCATCAACCTGGTAACTGATGCACAAAGCATGCTTCCTCGTCTTGACCTGTCAAAAGGGCGCTAGCTATGAAGCCAGAATCCTAATATATGACAGCTATATCAGAGAAAACACTGTACATGGAACCATAAAGACCTAGGCTTAATTACCTTGTTTGAGTCGATCATTCGTGTTCTGACCGGTTCACCCTATCTACTGACATTAATGGCCAAAAATGATTAGATAAACGGGTTTCGGAAAGACACTTCCCTTGAGATTGATGACAGCGTGTTGATGATGGCAGATCACTACTCTGATCTTCCATAACACTTCGTTCAAGAGAATTTATAGCAGCCGTAATTCGCTCCACGACTATGTGGTCTTAAACAATAACAATGGCTGACCACTCCCCCCCTCACTGATGCTACTGGCCTACATTGTCCAGATGTCAGTAAGTGATAGAAGGGTCACATTTACTCTATTTTAATTCTGATAATTAAGTTAATTTATATGAGATCTTTTTATGATGGTAAAGTCCAAAGACTAATGTATTTAAGAATAATCCCACCATAATAGGCGGTGAATTTATAATAGTATGTGGTAATGATATCCCGTTTTCTATAGATGGAAATTCCACTACAAGTTACATTTGCTATGGGTTAACTTGTTTATACAACACAGCAATATTATCTGCCTGTATGATATTATTAAATGGTGTCGGATTTTCCGACAACACCAGTGCACACAGTAACACCAGTGCACACAGTAACGCCAGTGCACACAGTAACACCAGTGCACACAGTAACGCCAGTGCACATAGTGACACCACACACCATGGAATACACGATGACACATGTGAACATAATAATTACACACGTGCAGCTGATGACAAACAACCTCAAAATGGATCATCACAATGAACAACATCTCACTATACTGCAATGGAACTGTAATGGAGTTCGCAACAGAATTAATGACATCATACAGTACGTCCGTGAACACCAAACTGACGTCATAGTGCTACAGGAGACGATGGTAGGTGATGACTTCAACCCAAGGTTCAGCGGTTATCGCAAGTTCTCTCTGCCCTCTGGGGAAAGAAAACGGGGTCAGGTTATCTTGAGGTTATCTTGAGATGATTTCGGGGCTTTTAGTGTCCCCGCGGCCCGGTCCTCGACCAGGCCTCCACTCCCAGGAAGCAGCCCGTGAAAGCTGCCTAACACCTAGGTATCTATTTTACTGCTAGGTAACAGGGGCATAGGGTGAAAGAAACTTTGCCTATTGTTTCTCGCCGGCGCCTGGGATTGAACCCGGGACCATAGGATCACAAGTCCAGCGTGCTGTCCGCTCGGCTCCCACAATCTCATCACTTTTGTAAATAACAACATTCCCCCACAGATTATTGATGACCTGCACATGGGGGATGAGTTTGAATCACTGGGAGTAACCCTTTACTTAAACAATAATGCTCTACATATAATCAACCTATATGTGCCACAGAGTAAACTTGACCTTGACGCACTGCCTGAATTTGTTAATGAAGAACCTACCCTGCTGGTCGGTGACCTTAATGCCAGACACCCACACTTTGGTGCCAACTGTCATCAGCCCAATGTCAATGGACGGAAACTGTCACTCTTTGTCAGGGGAAGTGAAAACCTTAAGAGTCCTGGGTGATGAACAGCCAACTCACCTCAGAGGAGGAAGACTAGACTATGCTCTCCTGCTGAATGCACAGGACACGGATGCCAGTACACACATTGTGCACAGTTTATGTAGTGACCATTGGGCACTGATTACCACCGTCGACATGAGCAAGAGAAAGAGACAAATAAAAGAAAAAGGTTATCACTCGGACCAGATATGAGGCCGCACTTCATAAACAGGATGAGTGACTGGTTCACGGAATACCAAATCCCAGAAGACATTGACACATTTGTTGATGACCTTAATCACCAAATTGAGAGCTGTCTAAGAGTTCCGCGTCGTACGCCTGGGCGAAGTAACCCTCAGAGGAAGAAAAAAAATTGTATGAGAATGATTACATAAAGATGCTTAACGCAAATGTGCGAGACATGAGTAGAGAGTACCGGAGACATCCCACTGAAAGTAACCAAGAGTTGTTTAAAACTGTGTGTCAAGTAGCCAGGGAAGAGAAGATTAAAGAGCGGGAAAGACAATGGCTTGAGTTCACTAGCTCTATTGGACGGGAAACATCTGCAAGACAAGTGTGGGCAAAAATTCAGATAGCTAAGGGGGGCAGAGCCCGGCCTGCGGCTCACAAAGACCCCCAGGGTAAGGCTGAGGAACTAATTCACAAGTGGAGTGATGCAGCATCCTCCTCCTCCCTCCCTGCAGAAATCAGCAGGGAACAGCTCCTGCGACATGATGACAGAAGAATTAGGATAACAAGAGCACTGTCTAGTGATGACGAATATGGGGAACCAATCACAGCCCAAGAAGTAAGGGGCGCTATGAAAAAGGGTAAAAGTACAGCACCTGGTGAAGATGGCGTCACCTACGACATACTCAATGCACTGTGTGAAGTGTCTGGGAATCCACTACTCCACCTGTTTAACAAGTCATTCCTATATGGAGTGTTGCCCACACAATGGAAACATGCAATAATTGTTCCCATACCGAAGCCTAATGACCCTGGTAATTACAGACCTATCAGTCTCGTGCCATGCACTTGCAAGATGCTTGAAAGGATCATCCTAAACCGACTGTTGCACAAAATAGGCAGGTTAGGGGAGGGGGTCAATGGATTTGTTAAAGGACGGAGCACAGCAAATTGTTTAGTTAAATACTTGGCTAATGACACGGCTAGGTACTCTGTATTCGTTGACATCAAAGGAGCCTTCGACAAAGCTCAGGGGATTGCGATCCTGGACAAGCTTGCATGCATGGGCGACAAGGGAAGACTCATGAAATGGGTTGAAGACTACCTCACAGGAAGGAAAGCCAAGGTTTGCTTCAATGGAGCAGTCTCCAGAACAATGAATATGGAACTCGGGACCCCCCAAGGCGGAGTCTTAAGCCCTACACTGTTCAATGTACTTATGAACGCCATTGCAAATATTGATTTTCCGGAAGGAACACAACAAGTGGGATATGCAGATGATGTCCTAATACAAGCTCCCACCTTGGGAAAAATTGAACAGTCCATTGAACTCCTTGGAAGGAAATGCATTGAGCTCGGTTTCACTCTCTCCACAAACAAGACGAAGGCATACTCCCATCACAAGCGGAGAGCAAATGAAGGACTGCAAATTAATGGTGTAACACTTGAATGGGTTGACCACTATCGGTACCTTGGCGTCACTGTCGGCTCTAGCAAGGGAAAGAAATAGGAGCTCAATCAACTCATAGGAACATGCAAAAGTCGACTCAGGGTACTGAAAACTATGACCTGGAATGGACATGGAGCCTCTGTTGCCGTGCTTAAAATGATGTACACAGCCTATGTGCGCTCCGGCATAGACTATGCGGCACCAGTTCTGTGCACCTACTCCCAAAACGATATGAAAAGGCTTGAAAGCATTCAAAATGAAGCCATGACAATCATTCTTGGAGTTCCAAGAACTGCCAAAACGTCCAATCTACGAGAGGAGTTGTCCTTTCCCAGTGTTAAAAGCAGAATTCAGGAGCTGAAGCTAAGCTTGCAATTAGGATAGCCAGAGATCCCCATTACAATGATATTGCTAAGAAAAAACTGAGCTCTGTGCTACTTTCAGGGGGAAACAGGAGAAGCAAAAAATGGCATCACAGATCAGTCTGCTACCTCGAAGAGCTTCACCTGCTTGAGCAAGCGTGAGCTCCTGCCTGTAGATAGGTTACCTCCCTGGGAGGATGACTCATGCAAGATCATCATCAATGAAATGGCAACGAAAAAATCCAACATGATACCACAATAAATGAGGCACAAGTATCTCGAGGAAATTTATAAAGAAGCCGGAGATGAACTAGATCAAATCTACACTGACAGGTCATCTAATCCTGTCAATAGCAGGGCTGGTGCAGCATACACGGTAATCAAGGATATTACTTTCCAACGCAGAAATGAAGAAAAAGCACGTATTGAGAACTATGCCTCTTCAACGCAAGCAGAGCTAACTGCCATTGTTATGACGTTAAGGTTTCTTGAACAGAACACTAATGGTGCAGTGATTTGCACCGATTCAAAAGCAGCACTGTAAAGCCTAAGTAAAAATCAGGCAGAAAATCTTGCAATAGTCGCTGAAATTAAGAGAGCTGTGAGAGTACTTAGCAATCAAGGAAGAGTCATCAAGTTTCTGTGGATCCCCTTCCATGTTGGAATATGTGGGAATGAACGAGCAGATGTGCTGGCTGCTGAAGGCGCTGAAGGAGACCATATTGAATACTTCATATCCAAGACTCTACTACAAATTAGAGGTATTGTCAGGCAACATCACCGTGACAAGGTAACTAAGGAAAGGAGGATAGAAGCACAAACCAGTGAATCTATACGATGGTACAACATGGTTGCAGCTGGCAATCCCAATCATTATGGCCGAAGAGGAGGAGGACGAGGGAGAGAATCAGTAATAGTGAGAATCCGTCTTGGATACAAATATCCATGGAGATATGGAATGGAAACAACAGTTGATCAGCGAAGTTGCAGAATCTGTGGTGAGAGTGACGGATACCGCCTTGACCACTATCTACGTGAATGTGAACACCTGAGAGACATCAGAAGTATGTGTAGTACTAATAAACCCCACATTGTTTGAGTTAGGAAAACACTATTTGTCAAATATTGATGCTGTTCTTAAAAGATTTTCCCATTTTGCACCCGCAAGATAACGTAAGCTTTCAAGGGTTGATAGATGTTAATCTTCTTGTTTGAGGAGCTGTTCACTTTAGACAGTTAAGTAAGTCCCAGCTGTGTCTGGGTACAAGTGACAGGATGAACAACCCAGCGGGTTTTCTTCCTATTGGGGAGTGTTGTACATGCTGCTATGGCGGTATGTCCACTCACAAAATGAGTGGCGCTGCCCAATAAACTCACCCCTCGGAGCAAAATTTAAGAAAAAAAAATTACTGTAAGGTTTTCTGTTTGCTGGCAATTGCTTCCTGATAAATATATGTATAATACATGAAATAAAAACTATTATTTTAAAAACACCTGTGATACGAAGGTAATTACATTTATGCTCATAATCATTAATTCACGTTATTGTGTATCTAGTTGGTGCCTCTTGCAGTTGCAGTGCCATGATAGTTTTAACCGGGGATGAGTTAGTAACTTGTAAGTTCTCTAAGGACCATTTAAAAGACTGGTTCTTCAAGGGGATTCTAACTCAGAAACTGCATAGTGAAACTACACACACGTGGTGCTTGGTTACACATGTGACACTTACATGGCTACACACGTGTGGCACTTGGCTACACGCGTGTGGCACATGGAAACATGCATGTGTCATCCCATGTCTATTACGCTTGACATTTCAAGTTATTACTCAATATATAGATCTTATATATAATATGTAAAGTATGTGTATGAACCCCCCCTCCCAAACATCGTCACATATACACTCTACCTACAACGAACTCACCTGAATCCCCAACCATAGTCCGGCAGGGAGTAGACTCCACTCTGGCTGATGTAGAAGGGAATCTGCCCTCTGGCGTCAGCGTAGAGTGAAGGAACCACTACAGTCAAGTGGTTCTTCATGCTGATGTAGGCGTACCTACCAGCCTGCACCTTGGTCAGCCCATGGTCCAGCTCCAGCACCTGTTGTCCCAGTATTTGGGGGTGAGTATTCAGGTAATGATCACTGTTATGGGAAGTGTGCAGTGCATGTGGAAGATCGGATTAGGGTGTTATTGGAGCAATTCAAATAAATATTTTACAAAAGTTATAATAAGTATTTTCCTTTTTCTTCCAGTTATCCTTTATTGTAATCACATTACAGGAGGTGTTTATGTAGTTTCTAAATCAATTTAAGTGTAAATTAATGAAACTAAGTTAATATAATATTTAGATGCCTGTCTTATATATTTCATTCACCTGGGCACTTGGAGGACTCGAACCGCCGACCCCACGAGCGTCAAGCAGAAGCTCTATCGATTGATCTCTGAGTATGACTTCATGTGCCCAGGTAAATGAAATTGTTATCTATATTTTTCTATCTATCTATCTATCTATCTATCTATCTATCTATACCTAGTACGTACGACATATATATATATATGTCGTACCTAGTAGCCAGTACGACATATATATATATATGTCGTACCTAGTAGCCAGAACGCACTTCTCGGCCTACTATGCAAGGCCCGATTTGCCTAATAAGCCAAGACTTTTTCATGAATTAATACATTTTCTCTAATTTTTTTCTTATGAAATGATAAAGCTACCCATTTCATTATGTATGAGGTCAATTTTTTTTATTGGAGTTAAAATTAACGTAGATATATAACCGAACCTAACCAACCCTACCTAATCTAACCTAACCTATCTTTATAGGTTAGGTTGGGTTAGGTAGCCTAAAAAGTTAGGTTAGGTTAGGTTAGGTAGGTTAGGTAGTCGAAAAACAATTAATTCATGAAAACTTGGCTTATTAGGCAAATCGGGCCTTGCATAGTAGGCTGAGATTTCAGTGCGTTCTGGCTACTAGGTACGACATATATATATATATATATATATATATATATATATATATATATATATATATATATATATATATATATATATATATATATATATATATGTCGTACCTAGTAGCAGAACGCACTTCTCAGCCTACTATGCAAGGCCCGATTTGCCTAATAAGCCAAGTTTTCATGAATTAATGTTTTTTCGACTACCTAACCTACCTAACCTAACCTAACCTTACTTTTTCGGCTGATTTTCTTTTTTTTCAATGAATTGTTAGCTTTATCCATTTAGTTTATTTCAATTATTTATTATATTATATTAAGACCATAATTTATTGACTTAGTTGTGATAGTTTAAGGAAGGTTAAGATAGGTTAGGTTAGGTTAGGTAGGGTTGGTTAGGTTCGGTCTTATATCTACGTTAGTTTTAACTCAAATTAAAAGAACTTAACTCATACACAATGAAATGGATAGGTTTATCATTTCATTAGAAACAAATTCGAAAAACAATAAATAAACTCAGGATAATTTGGGTTATTAGGCAAATTGGACCTTGCATAGTAGGCCGAGTACTGCGTTCTGGCTACTAGGTACAACATATATATATATAAGCCAAGTTTTCATGAATTAATGTTTTTTACACTACCTAACCTACCTAACCTACCTAACCTTACCTAACCTAACTTTTCGGTTACCTAACCTAACCTAACCTATAAAGATAGGTTAGGTAGGGTTGGTTAGGTTCGGTCATATATCTACGTTAATTTTAACTCCAATAAAAAAAATTGACCTCATACATAATGAAATGGGTAGCTTTATCATTTCATAAGAAAAAAATTAGAAAATATATATTAATTCAGGAAAACTTGGCTTATTAGGCAAATCGGGCCTTGCATATTAGGCCGAGAAGTGCGTTCTGGCTACTAGGTACGACATATATATATATATATATATATATATATATATATATATATATATATATATATATATATATATATATATATCGTACCTAGTAGCCAGAACGCACTTCTCAGCCTACTATGCAAGGCCCGATTTGCCTAATAAGCCAAGTTTTCATGAATTAATGTTTTTTTCGTCTACCTAACCTACCTAACCTAACCTAACCTAGCTTTTTTTGGCTACCTAACCTAACCTTACCTATAAAGATAGGTTAGGTTAGGTTAGGTAGGGTTGGTTAGGTTCGGTCATATATCTACGTTAATTTTAACTCCAATAAAAAAAAATAGACCTCATACATAGTGAAATGGGTAGCTTTATCATTTCATAAGAAAAAAATTAGAGTAAATATATTAATTCAGGAAAACTTGGCTTATTAGGCAAATCGGGCCTTGAATAGTAGGCTGAGAAGTGAGTTCTGGCTACTAGGTACGACATATATATATATATATATATATATATATATATGTCGTACCTAGTAGCCAGAACGCACTTCTCGGCCTAATATGCAAGGCCCGATTTGCCTAATAAGCCAAGTTTTCCTGAATTAATATATATTCTCTAATTTTTTTCTAATTAAAATTTTATTCTCTAATATATATATATATATATATATATATATATATATATATATATATATATATATATATATATATATATATATATATATATATTTATTATTAAATATGACCGAAAAAGTAAGATTAATAATTCTAACACGAATTTTCTCAATCTTTCGTACATTATGCTTCACTGTTGGAGGTAAATCAAAAATCACTTCTCCAAAATTCATTTTTATTTCTAGTCTGACGCGACACGGGCGCGTTTCGTAAAACTTATTACATTTTCAAAGACTTCACAAATACACAACTGATTAGAACTTGCGTTTCCCTGATTTTATATCTACATTTGAGTGAGGTGGGAAGGGTGATGTGGCATTACATTTGAGTGAGGTGGGAAGGATGATGTGGCATTAGAGGATATTAATAGGGTATTAAAAGTATCAACACAAGACAGAACACGAAACAATGGATATTGAATAGAAGTGTTTGTAGAAAGCCTATTGGTCCATATTTCTTGATGCTTCTATATTGGAGCGGAGTCTTGAGGTGGGTAGAATATAGTTGTGCAATAATTGGCTGTTGATTGCTGGTGTTGACTTCTTGATGTGTAGTGCCTCGCAAACGTCAAGCCGCCTGCTATCGCTGTATCTATCGATGATTTCTGTGTTGTTTACTAGGATTTCTCTGGCGATGGTTTGGTTATGGGAAGAGATTATATGTTCCTTAATGGAGCCCTGTTGTTTATGCATCGTTAAACGCCTAGAAAGAGATGTTGTTGTCTTGCCTATATACTGGGTTTTTTGGAGCTTACAGTCCCCAAGTGGGCATTTGAAGGCATAGACGACGTTAGTCTCTTTTAAAGCGTTCTGTTTCGTGTCTGGAGAGTTTCTCATGAGTAGGCTGGCCGTTTTTCTGGTTTTATAGTAAATCGTCAGTTGTATCCTCTGATTTTTGTCTGTAGGGATAACGTTTCTATTAACAATATCTTTCAGGACCCTTTCCTCTGTTTTATGAGCTGTGGAAAAGAAGTTCCTGTAAAATAGTCTAATAGGGGGTATAGGTGTTGTGTTAGTTGTCTCTTCGGAGGTTGCATGGCTTTTCACTTTCCTTCTTATGATGTCTTCGATGAAACCATTGGAGAAGCCGTTATTGACTAGAACCTGCCTTACCCTACAGAGTTCTTCGTCGACTTGCTTCCATTCTGAGCTGTGGCTGAGAGCACGGTCGACGTATGCGTTAACAACACTCCTCTTGTACCTGTCAGGGCAGTCGCTGTTGGCATTTAGGCACATTCCTATGTTTGTTTCCTTTGTGTAGACTGCAGTGTGGAAACCTCCGCCCTTTTCCATGACTGTTACATCTAGAAAAGGCAGCTTCCCATCCTTTTCCGTCTCGTAAGTGAAACGCAGCACGGAACTCTGCTCAAATGCCTCCTTCAGCTCCTGCAGATGTCTGACATCAGGTACCTGTGTAAAAATGTCGTCAACATACCTGCAGTATATGGCCGGTTTCAAGTTCATGTCGACTAAGACTTTTTGCTCGATGGTACCCATGTAGAAGTTTGCAAACAGGACACCTAGGGGAGAACCCATAGCGACCCCATCTACTTGCTTATACATATGCCCATCCGGGCTCAAGAAGGGTGCCTCTTTAGTACAACGTACCTGTGGACGAGACAATCGGAATGATAGCCGACAGAGTGTATCGTGATCCAGCCTGTACTCCTCTTGACATGCCAGAAAGTATTCTGAGGAAACTACTCCAAGCTTGTACTAAAGAGGCACCCTTCTTGAGCCCGGATGGGCATATGTATAAGCAAGTAGATGGGGTCGCTATGGGTTCTCCCCTAGGTGTCCTGTTTGCAAACTTCTACATGGGTACCATCGAGCAAAAAGTCTTAGTCGACATGAACTTGAAACCGGCCATATACTGCAGGTATGTTGACGACATTTTTACACAGGTACCTGATGTCAGACATCTGCAGGAGCTGAAGGAGGCATTTGAGCAGAGTTCCGTGCTGCGTTTCACTTACGAGACGGAAAAGGATGGGAAGCTGCCTTTTCTAGATGTAACAGTCATGGAAAAGGGCGGAGGTTTCCACACTGCAGTCTACACAAAGGAAACAAACATAGGAATGTGCCTAAATGCCAACAGCGACTGCCCTGACAGGTACAAGAGGAGTGTTGTTAACGCATACGTCGACCGTGCTCTCAGCCACAGCTCAGAATGGAAGCAAGTCGACGAAGAACTCTGTAGGGTAAGGCAGGTTCTAGTCAATAACGGCTTCTCCAATGGTTTCATCGAAGACATCATAAGAAGGAAAGTGAAAAGCCATGCAACCTCCGAAGAGACAACTAACACAACACCTATACCCCCTATTAGACTATTTTACAGGAACTTCTTTTCCACAGCTCATAAAACAGAGGAAAGGGTCCTGAAAGATATTGTTAATAGAAACGTTATCCCTACAGACAAAAATCAGAGGATACAACTGACGATTTACTATAAAACCAGAAAAACGGCCAGCCTACTCATGAGAAACTCTCCAGACACGAAACAGAACGCTTTAAAAGAGACTAACGTCGTCTATGCCTTCAAATGCCCACTTGGGGAC